TTGTGTGGCATAGTGGTTATGTGCTCCACTGCTAACTGAAAGGTTGGCAGTTTGAACCTATCAACTGCTCTGTAGGAGAAAGCTATGGAAGTGGAAGTCTGCTTCTGTGAAGATTTCAGTTTTTGAAGCCATATGGGGCAGTTCTACTCTGTCCTATAGGGTTACTAATGAGTCAAAATTGACCTGACAGCAGTGGGTTTTTTCATTTTATTCTTTCTACTATGCCATACCACCTAAGCTTCTTAGATGCTAAAACTTATTAAAGAGATTCATTCTAGATGATTTCCATAACAGACAGGCCAACAAGGGAGTCGACTTCTGTGGTAGGAATGTGTTCCTCCCCACACAAGGAGTTTTCACTCCTACTTCAAGCTGGACCATACAGATGCCTACAGTCAGGGTTAAATACCTTCTCAAAAAGGACCTTGTAATCTGCTCAAGCTGCTCAAGTACTTGAACCAAGTATTCATTTAAAATCCCAGAGCCCTGTGCCAAAGGCATGAGATCAATTTGGCCTAAGGAGTGTTAGGAGCGTATGCTAATCAATGTGGCCCTGTTCAAGTAAGTGCCTAATTTGAGAACTGCATGTGGACAGCTGGGCCAGAATAAGGTAACTGCAAAATATAACCCTGGCTGGCCACATGGAATGACTTCCAGTGAAATTACTTTATATTGTACTTCAGTTGAGGAGAATATCTGTCAAGTAAACCCATTTTATTATACATATAACCGAAAAAAAAAAAAAACTCACTGCCATTGAGTCTATTCTGACTCATAGCAACGTGCATTGGGTTTCCAAGGCTGTAAATCTTTACAGAAGGAGACTGCCCCATCTTTCTTCCATGGAGTGGGTGGGTTCAAAGCACTGACCTTTTGGTTAGCGGCCAAATGCCTTAACCACTACAGCATCAGAGCTCCGTATTTTGCATATAGTTGCTACTAATTCTTTCCAGTAACTATTAGCCAATGGGAGCCACTGTATTATAGGACCATCCCCATTGATGATGAAAGCTTATGGCTAATAAAGGTGTTTTTCTTCCCTTCGCCATTTAATTTTAAAAGAAGAGAGACGAGAAAGTAGCCTTTTAAAATGTTAATTGGATATTGAATTAAAGATTTATCCAGAGACCATTTGTCAGGATTGGGCGAGAGTTGATTACTATAGAAGCAGAATTTGATATATTGCCCCTTCTGATTTTGTGTTATGGCTGAGATTTTTGATAATATGAAAGTTTTAGAAAATAAACAACACTGACATTAAATAAAGTTATTTGTACCTGATTCTGACATTAATGCCATGAGCACAAACTTTGAAAAAGCTTCTAAATTGGGATAGAATTACTTGGGTATCTAAACTTGTGAAGTCAAAGACTGATGAGGGGTAGATGAAAGCTACCCAGTGTTTTAGGTTTTTCTTAAATTTATCTTAGGGAGATAAACTTAACTATAGTAGTGACACTCAGAATCCATTTGCTTCTTCTGCAAGTGTTACAGATGCTGTCAGACCCTAAGACAGTATCCTCTTGGCACTTACCATTATAGGGCACTCTGCATGGCCTCCTAGGCGCTCATGCTGTGCCTCGTCTTGCCTGCGGTCTCTGGTCTTTGGAGCCACTCTACCTGTAGGAGAGTGGTTCTAGCTAGGAGCAGGCCTGGAGTGCTAGGGAATGATGTCCCCTAGAGCACGCCTCACCCAGTGACTGAAGGGAACTGATGGATAAGTATCCTTGCTTCCTTGCTGCTCAGGCAGCTTAACTCTGAGACTCACTTTCTACCTTTTTCGCTAGAATGTGCCAATAGATTTAACTTTGTTTTCCAAAGTGGCAACTTGCTGGAAAATTCGCCTGTTTTTAGTTTCCTTCTCTTCTCTCACTTCTGCCCTTTCTCACCAGTGTTTCTTGCGACTGCTTTTCGTATAAATCACTTGTACTTGAATCTTTATCTTAAGATCTGTTTCTGCAAGAATTTAAACTAAGACAGGATACCAAGTGGAGGGACCCAACTGCAACTTGTTGAGGAAAAATTTCATAATGGATTTTGAAAAAACAGCCTATGAATTAAGGCAGTGGGGTGATATAGGTTATTTCTTTCCCTTTTTCAAATCATAGAATAGATTATATTTGAATCTGTCCTGTGCAGGTGATATAAATAAATAATTTGGCAAAGATTGGGACCCATGATACATGATAAGATTTAAAGAATTCTTGGGATAAGAATTTTTTTTATGGGATGTTTTTCTTTTCCCCCTTAACTTTAGGTAATTGATCAAATGAATTGCTGTGGATGGAATTACATAATCCCAACTAAAAATTTACCAACTGAATAAATGTTCAAGGTGAGAAATGAGGAACATTAATTTGGAAATTTAGACCATGACCCTGTTTTAAGAGAAAACTCAAAGTAAAAGGCTAGATTCTGTGTGATGACATTCTATTTATAAATACAAAAGTTTTTAGTATTCTAGATTTATCCTAGAATCAGTTGAATATAGTATTTTTAGACAGTATCTTTTGTAAATTGCAAATGTCATCAGAAATGCCAAACTCTGTGTATGAGATTTTTATTTTTGACTGTCATCTTTTTGTTAATATGAATCAACATCTTGTATTCATGCTTATCCCAATTTAATTCCTTTGAAGTATTTTGAATATTAGGGGTGAGGTAAAGGCAGGGTGCGTAAAATTATTCCAAGTTTAAAAAGAAATAATAGTAACTACCTGGTTGATTGTGGTGCCACTAAACAAGAAAGGGCATAGAGATAAACTTGGATAGAGATTGGAAGAGATAAATGAGTCTACTTCTGGGCATTTGTAGTTGAAGGTATATTTGGACCATGAAGGTGGTATTGTCTGTTAGGTGTTGCATATAAGGTCCTAAGCATGGCTTCTAAGACTTGAACTACTTGTTCTGTGCTTTACTCTTCCGCCATTTCCTTACCACAGTCTATGCTTTAGCAACATATGTCTGCCTTCTCGACTCTCAGGTTTGTGTTGGCTATCCTTTCTGACTATATAACACCTTTGTATCCCATCCCCTCCATCACCCAGGCAATGCCTGTTTGAATAACTTCCATGACAGAGCACTCACCATCACCAAATAGAACAGCATTAGTCACTAAGCAAGTGAACTCTTGAGCCAGCCTGCCTGGGTTTAATCCACAGCTCCACCCTTTACCTGCTGTGACCTTCTTAGTTTCCTAAAACAATGGGGAGAATATCAGAACATCTCATAGGGCTCTTAGGAAGATTAATGAGTTAAACATTTAAAGCACTTAGAACATGGCATATAGAGTGTTCTGTAAATCTTTGCTATTATTATTAATTGCTATCTTATAACTCATCCCATTTCATCTTAAGAACACATTTTATAAGGTTTATTTTAATAAAGTCTCACCAAAAAGTGCCAGTTTAAAACAATGACTGGTCTGGTATTTTCCAAATCTTATCACAAACAACAATTTTAAGTACTTTTAATCAGTTTTTTTTACTTTTTTAATTGTGATTTGGGTGAAAGTTTACAGAGCAAATTCACTTTTCATTCAGCAATTCACATACACTTTGTCTCATGACATTGACCACAGTCTCCCACAATGCAACAGCTCCCCTCCCTCTTCCTCCCCTTAGTTACCTCTTCCCTGTGTACTTCCCTCCATGCATTCCTGCCCCTTGAGCTATTTCCCTGTGGATAAACAGCCCTTTTATTCTCCCATGATTGTTCTCTCCGAGGAGTGTATCTACCTAGTGTAAATGTTCACCTCACATGCCTGTCTTTTGTTTGACTGGAAGCCAAGTTTTTTTGACTTTTTAACCTTCCAATCAAGTTTTTTGTTTTTGCTTTTTGTGAATTGCCATAATCTGCCAACTACTCATCTTCAATGCCTGTGTTTTATCTCATTGTTTTCTTAAACATTTCTTAATATTTGAGTGTATGGATTATTTCCAATTTTTAATTATTCTGGTTGGACCTGCTGGATAAGCTTTTTTCCTTTGGAGTTAATTGCTTGGGATTTTTCTGTAGTTAAAGTTTTGAGTCAAATTTTATTTTTATACCTTTTATAATAAGTTTCCCAAGATGTTTTCTAAAATATTTCTGCAATCTATTATAACTATATAACAAGGAGCTCTGGTGGTGCAGTGGTTAAGGCATTTGGCTGATAACTCTAAGGTCGGCAGTTTGAACCCACCAGCTGCTCTGTGGCAGAAAGACAAGACAGTCTGCCTCTGTAAAGATTTATGCACACACTGCCATCGAGTCAGATCTGACACATAGTGGCCCCTCCTTGGGTTTCCGAGGTGGTATCACTATGGAAGTAAATTACCCAACCTTCCTTCCAAGGAGTGCCTGGTATGTTTGAACCACCAGCTTTCTGGTTAGCAGTCAGATGCCTTAGGCACTATACTACCAGAGCTCCTGTAAAGATTTAGAGCCTTGAAAATCCTCTGAGGCAGTTCTACTCTGTCGTGTAGGGTCACTATGAGTCAGAATCAACTCAATGGCAATGGATCATTAAAACGATACGTATCTATTACCTGTTATAAATTCTAACAGAACTTTAGAAATGCATCCATAATGATTTACATTACATTTCTAAATTTTAAATATGAATTATAATATAAAAATTGTGGCTAAGAGCAAGGCGGCATGAAGTTTAACTTTTTGTAACAGATATAAATTACCATAATTAAAAAATTGACTGAGAAATATATTAATCTTTAGACCTATTCAAACCTAAATTAAAGCAATGTATCACCTCTTCAGTGTAGTATGTATAATTGAGCTCCTGGGAAAATAACTTAGTAAGAATAAAGTTGTTAAATAAAATAAATGAGACCAATGATTTCTTTTCAGTGTAATATACTATTTCTCTTTCATACTTTAGCATATTCAAATAGCATTTTATAGCAAAATCATAACTCTTATAAATGTCAATGTAATAAATTTAAGAGTTTATTCATAATGATTCAAATGCCCATTTTTTTGTTTGTTTAACTCTAAATTAGATCGTAGAAAATTCTATACTATCCACTGCACTGGTTATTTGAGAAGTTGGCCTCCAGATATTGTTGGAATGGAAGAAGAAAGGATCAGCAAGAAAGATAGCAGTAATTTTACTTGCTTTGTTGCCATTGGAAGATCACATCCATATATTGTCCCACAGAGCAGTGGAGAGATTAAAGTCAAGCCAACTGAATTTGTAACCCGGTTTGCAGTGAATGGAAAATTTGTCTTTGTAGATCAAAGGTAAACATTTACATGTCATAATGATTAGAGTTCAATGAGATGTTTAGGGGTATTAAAAGATGTGGTTTAGTAGCACTACTGCATTATTTTTAAGGTTTCAAAACAGGAGCTCTGGTGGCATAGTGCCTAAGGCATTTGACTGCTAACCAGAAGGCTAGCAATTCAAACCCACCAGCCACTACTTGGAAGGAAGGTTGGGCGATCTGCTTTGTAGAGATACTGCCTTGGAAACCCAAGGAAGGGTTGCTATGAGTGGGAACCGACTCAACAGCAGTGAGGTTACTTTTTTTTTCCAAAACAGGAAATAAAAATTTAAATGAAATGAGGATATGGATATGTGAATAAATTTATTCAAGCAAAAATGTACACTCAAATAATATTTTTAAACCAATATTCAGAAACTGGGCTGTGGCCTCAGTTGTATTAGTGCATGGTGGTAACAGCATACCCTGGGGTCACCTGGGTGTTCATTCTGTTCTGCAGCCCCAGTCTGGATCAAGGGGAACCAAAGGGAGCCAAGTCATACACATGCGTTTTTGGCCCACCCAGTCTCCTTCCTTTGGTCCTGACAATCTATTAAAAAAAACTAAACCCTCTGCTGTTGAGTTGATAGTAACACATAGAGACTCTGTGGTCACCTATGGACCTATAGTATTTTGTGAGGGGGTATACTCACCAATTTCTGATGTTTATTTTCAATTTTAAAACCAGGGCAACTGCAATTTTAGGATATCTGCCTCAGGAACTTTTGGGAACTTCTTGTTATGAATATTTTCATCAAGATGACCATAGTAATTTGACTGACAAGCACAAAGCAGGTATGTATTGAATAGAGTATTTTTTCTTTGGAAACTTTTAATTATAACTTCTATTCTTAATTTCTCATTCCTATGTAATCTAAAGCTTCAGTTTTTATTGTGGTAGACTGTTGTGCTGATCACTTTTTTTTTGTTGTTGTTGTTAAGTTCTACAGAGTAAGGAAAAAATATTTACAGATTCCTACAAATTCAGAGCAAAAGATGGGTCTTTTGTAACTTTAAAGAGCCAGTGGTTTAGTTTCACAAATCCTTGGACCAAAGAACTGGAATATATTGTGTCTGTCAACACTTTAGTATTGTGAGTAATTTTTCTTACATTGTTCAGACCTTTATATGAATTTCAAATAAGTAATCTTTGCTTCTCTTTTCTTGTTAAACCATTAAAACTGTACGATTCTCTGGCCTCATATTCCTTGAGGTAAATACTTTGATTAATTCATTTATTCAAATTCATTGGTATTAGTTCTCAGAAGAAAGCTAAAAGTTTGCTTTACATTCTCAGAACTGATGTGTGACAATACACATGGAGTCCGGACAACCAGGGAAATTCATTTGAGCCATGGTATCCAGTCTCTTTATTGGGGCTCCATGGTCAACTATCCATGTAACTGCCCTCAGTCACCAGTCCCTCTAGAGATTAAGCTGATACCGCACATGACTCAGAATCCCTGCCATAAATCACATTGTTAGACTTTCTGGCATAGCTAGCCACCTCCCTAGATAAAGATACTCCTGTAAGACATGATATTCCTAGTGCTCAAAGATTATCTTCCAAAAGCTGAGAGCAAAGGCCAGATCTCTTGTTGGACAAGGTTAAATTCTTCACTACACAATATAAAGTGTAGGTGGGTCATGAATTGGCAAATCAAATATATAGAACCTAATATAGTTGCTTTAACAATTTCCCTCACCTTAAAAAAAAAAATCACCCATGGTGTGTCTTAATTCTAGAGGGCACGGTGTGACTGGAGACGCATCATTACTTCCTTGCAGTTCTCAATCAGAAGGTAAGCTTGGTTTTAGATGATATAGGACTTATTACTAATAAATATTATTGTGGAAGAATTATTCTTAAGTCATTGACTTTTGCTGTAATGGTGAGGGAAAGAATTTCAAGTAGAAAATGAAGAAAGGAAAAAAAAAAAAAACTTCTATGAATTGGGTTATGGGAATCCCAACTTCAGTTGGGAGTAAGAGACCGAGTCTGGGAGGAAACCAGTATCTCACATGAAACTTCCAGGGTCACACCATTTCTTCCTCAGTACTCTCATAGCACTTTGCTCACACTTGTTAAAATATTACAGTGTTTGCAACTGGCTGACAAGCACAAAGCAGGTATGTATTGAATAGAGTATTTCACCAACTCTCCACTAACTGTGAGTTCTTCAAGAGTAGGAATGGTGTTTTAGTCATTATCTATCCCTACAGGATAGCTCTATATAGGTTGTGGCACTCAATAAGTATCTGTTGGACAAATAAATGAAAAGCATTAAAAGGGACTTTTTGCTTCATCAGTGTTAGTTTTTTTTACAACAAGAATATAGTAATATATTACTTATATAATTAGAAATAAAAATATTAAGAAGTAGTATTTCTCTGGCTTCAGTATTGAGAATAAAGTGGGAAAAGACTATCAGTACTTACCCTCAAATGACTTTCCAGACATTTGATCCATATCCCCTTCATAAGTATCTTAGAACCATATGAGTTTTTTGTAACACAGGGGTGAATGTTTTCTAACACTTTAGGATATAGCTAATCTGTTTTTAAAATTAGGAAATGTATATAAATTGAAAGATACTACATGAAGTTATATGCTATTTAAAAAATTCTCAATTGGAGTTTTCTTTTTATTGTTATTTAGAATCCTCTATACAATCTTGTAGTAGTATACCAAGAATGTCTTCTGGAATGGTACTTGGTGCTGGTTGTATTGGAACAGATAGTGCAAATGCAGTTCTGGATTTACAAAGGTAATTTTACTGTTGCAGATATTTTCACAACTAAAGCCATTATGTTTACAAAAAAGTAATTTTTCCTATATGCAAAAATAATTAGTTCATAAATATAATAGAAGATCCCATTTACAGTAGCAACAAAAAAATAAAACATTTGTAAATTTTACAAAAACTATTCAAACATACTTGTTTAAAAACTTTAAAATGCAATGCTATAATGTTATAACAAAGATAACTTGAATAACTTTGTAGATATAATTTGATTTTCAGTGGGAATAAAAAAAAAAAAAGAATGGTGTGTGTGTGCATGTGTACAGGTCCACAGTGTCTCATCTAATATGTTTGGAACCCATTATGTTTTGAAGTTAGAGGGGCAAGAGTGAGGGAGTATTTACATTAAATGAGATTGAGAATGAGTTAACAGTTATGGAAGCTGTTGGGTGGGTGCATGAGATTTCATTATACCTCTGTTTTTATATGTTTCAAATTTTCCATAATAGAAAGCTTTAAAATATTACAGGAGTGAAGTATGTAAATATGTGTAATAAATGGGACAAAGCAAGATTTAAAAAAATAGTCTTATATCAGACAAGGTCAGGTTTTAATTACAGAAAATCTTTCCAGTTCCAGAGCATTTTGGATTTGGAAATTGGAGAGAAGTGACCTGATACCCCACAATATAATATACAACAGCACAAAAAGTTGTTTTGCCTCGTTCCCTCTCATACAAGAGATTGTTTGTTACAGGACAGGAGATGTAGAAGATGAGAGAAACTTTTACTTTTTTATTTTCTACTTTTTTTTGTACAGCTTGAATTTTTAGCATTAAATTGAAAAAAAAAAAAGAAATTTAAACTGAAAAAAAGTCCATAAGGTCTGCCTATTTCATTGGGAAAAAAATTAATTGAATAATTACTATTTGCTATATACTTTAAGCATTGAAACTATTGTGAATTGTTTACTATGACATTCTACTTCTTGTTTATCAATTCTGTGTCTGTTCCACACTGCCTTTCTCTGAGATTCTCGCAGTGAGAAATTTGGGGGCATCTATTTTAATTAAGGATCTTTGGATTGCAAAAATTAAAGGTCCTTCAAGTCCCCTCAGGAAAGAAAGGTATATCTTTACTTTCAGTATACGTGTCATCTGGAATTGGAACCAGAAAACCAAGCACTTCTGCCATGCAAAGGACCAGCTTCTCTTTGACTCTGTGCCTATCTCATGGGGGCATGGCCTCTCTCCCTGTTTCTCTCTGATTGTCTGCTCTGTTCTCTTCCCTCTTTCAGCTGGCTTCTTCCTTTTCTTCATTATTGTGGTTTTCATATCTGTGGTCACCATGGCCTCTGCAACCCCAGTGCTGCCTCCTGACCCTTCAGCTTCTACTCTCACAGTTCTCAATTTCCCCATTACACTCATCCTGTTTCTGAGATTGGTCTAGCCAATTTTCCCATGCCACCTATGGTAGTTAAGGTTATGTGTCAACTTGGCTGGACCTGGTTTTGAGTGGCTGGGCAGCTGGATATAGTTCTTCCCTATGATGATATTGGTGATCAACTCCATTGTGGAATCTACCGGAGTAGCTGCCTTAGGGATATGGTCTGTTTCTGGTATATAGGAAGTAGCTTTGAGGAAGGTGTCTAGCTTTTGGCATACTTGAATCCTGCATGTAGCCGAATCATTATTCAGCAGCCTGCCATATTGTCTGCTGTTCTTGGGACTTTTAATGGACTTGAATCAATGGCCTGCCATATGGTTTGGTAATATTGGGTCTGTGCCTTTTTACTTGTCAACCTTGGGTTTGTCAACCTCAAGAGTTAGCAGCTGCCTGAGTGAAGAAAGCCTCCAGCTTCAGTGGGCCAAGAGTAAGAGGCAGAGCTAAAGCCCAAAGTTGAGGGGCTTTCACCCAGGCCCCCTAGAGCCTGGCACTTTGAACACAGACTTCTAGCTGCCAAAACTATAAAAGAATAAACTTCTGTTTGTTAAAGTAATCTACTTGTGGTGTTTTCTGTTAGAGAAGCACTAGAGGACCAAAACGCCACCCCATATTGCCATTTTCTGGTCAGTGGATGGTTGTCTCCCTTTTGCTTATGTGAAATTATTAGTAATTGAAGCACCTGGAGGAGATGGGGTGAGCAGCATCATGTGTGAGAAACTTGGCAGAGGCTGTACGCAGGGAGTTTCTCCTAGGAAGGGTTTTTGGGGCAGGAAGGCAAAACCAGAGAAGGATAAGTCTCCTATGTCTTATCCTCCTGTCCAGTAACTGGATATACAACCAATCCTCATTATAGTGAAACTTAAGCACAAACATATACATACATGATTCATCATGTGCTTTGATCATGGATCTCATTTCAAGACTTAATGTGTGGAATGGATAGTACCATATAGTTATTATTAAATACTCAAGTGTATAGTTCACACATTTTTGATACTTATCCTATACTGACTTAAGTTTTCTTCTCCTTTTTAGGTTTTTACAATTCTCACTGACTTAGGTAATAAAAAGTCCTCACTGGATCTAGGACATTTTCAGAGAAGCAGAAATTGAGCCAAATGTTGATAGCTGGGTAGCATTAGGATGTCTAGGATATAGCCAAGTAGTGTTAGAAGGGCACTGGTATATGAAGGAACCTCAGTCAAGGTCTGGAGATGAGTGGGAGAAGCATGGTGGTTTCCTTGAACAACAAGGAGACTCAGTTGAGAGAGGGATTGGGTTGGTGAGCATAGAGTTTTAACTAAGGCCAAGTCATGTAGTGAAAGGGCTTAAAAGCAGTTTTCTGACCAAGGTACTGCTATAATATAATGAAAGTCATGTTTCAGAAGTAGTGAGGAACATGAGATGGGTATAGTTTTCATCTTTAACTCAAGACTAAGTGAGCAGGTAGTGATTTTAGAAATGAACCAGAGAATGAGGAGCTGGCCAGGCTGCTAACTTTGACTCTGGAAAATCTCTGAGATAGGGCACCAACATTTTCATCTCTGAATTTCCCTACCTAATTCATTTCATGCCTCCGTTTCAATTTCTTCCACTGTAATTTCTTCTCAGTTGCTTCCTTGGGAATATATAAAGACATGAAATTAGGTTTATGGGTTCTGTTCTCTGGATGTGTTACATTGTTTTTTGTACCTGGTACTGATGTATTGGTATAAAACTGTGAGATATTTTCCACTTTAAAAAGGTTGCAGAATGTTATTGTACCTTTAGTTTTAATTCTGCTGATTAGCATCTTGATGAGATACTGATCTTGGTTTGACAGCCTGTTTTAAACTGTGCTGTTTTCCATTCCTTTGCCATGAGCTATATTAAGACCAAAACCCAAAACTGAACCCAGTGCCATCAAATCGACTCTGACTCATAACCACCCTTAAGACAGAGTAGAACTGCCCCTTAGGATTTTCGAGGCTGTATGTAAATCTTTACAGAAGCAGACTGTCACGTCTTTTTCCCATGAAGTGGCTGGTAGGTTCCAACCACCGACCTTTTGGTTAGCAGCTGAGTGCTTTAACTGCTGTGCCACTAGGGCACCTATGTTAAGACAGACGACAACACAATTAATTTAAGAGCTTTTACCTCAGAGTTTTCCTATTTATTATAGTATGTTTTTTAATATTCCATGATCAAAAATAAGTCTGGCACCCATCAAGACAGTCTAATTGTGAAAACTGTTACAATATTCATTCTCATGTTCATCACTATGTTTTATCAATGGGTTATTATATATTCAGAGGAGAACATTCCTTTCAAAAATATATATAATTAGAACAAATGGCTTTATGTATTACTTTTTAAAGGTCTGCTTCATCCCTTGGTGATACAAGTCCTAAAGTTCTAATGAAAGATACTACCACTGAAAACTGCAGAAATGTAAGTATACTTGTACGTAATGATAGTCACATACAGTAGTATAATTCTGATGTAGCACAGACAATAAAAAGCTCTAAAGTAGGTATAGACATACCTTGTTTTACTGGGCTTTGCTTTATTGCTTGTCACAGATAGGGCATTTTTTACAAATTGAAAGTTTGTGGCAACCTTATATTGAGCAAGTCTTTCAGCTCCATTTTCCCAACAGTATTTGCTCACCTTCTGTCTCTGTGCCACAATTTTGTCATTCTCACAATATTTCAAACTTTTCATAATGCTATTGCAAACTTAACAGACTACATTGTAGTACAAACATATTTTCTGTGTGCACTAACCAAAAAAAACCAAACTCACTGACATCGAGTCGATTTCAACTCATAGTGATGCAGGTAGTAAGGCTTTACGAAAATAGATTGTCCCATCTTCTTTCTGAGAAATGACTGGTAGGTTTGAACCATCAACCTCTGGTTAGCAGTCAGATGCCTTAGGCATTATGCCATGAGAGCTCCTTTTTTTTAAATTTGGTTTCCTAGTGCATATAGAGGAGCTCTGGTAGCATAGTGGCTAAAGCACTTGACTGCTCACCAGAAGGCTGGTGGTTCAAACCCACCAGCCACTCCTCGGAAGGAAGGTTGGGCAATCCTACTTCCGTAGTGATACTGCCTCGGAAACCCAGGGAGGGGTCGCTGTGAGTCGGGGCCGACTCGACGGCACATAACAACAACAACAACAAGTGCATATAGAAATTATGTTTGCACAATATAATAAAAATATAATTTCTATATGCAATAGGAAACCAAAAAACTAGTGTGACTCATTTTATTGTGTTACTCGCTTTATTGAGGTGGTCTGGAACCAAACACATAATATCTCCAAGGTGCACCTATATATAAAGTAAAGTGTATGAGACTGTAGAAGAAATGAGAAATTAAGATTGACCAGGGACAAAAGGGAAATAGAAAAAGAAATATTTTACTTTTAGATGAATATCCTGTTTTTTGGACTAATATTTATTCATTTATTCATACATTTAGCAAAGGTTTATTGTATACCCATTTTGTGCCAGGAAATAGGCTAGAAATAGGGATTCAAGTCATTGTAATGAATTAATATCTCCAGGTAGTGTACATTATATGCCCACTGTCATCTAGTTGACTCTGACTCATAGCAACCCTATAGGACAGAGTAGAACTGCCTCAAAGGGCTTCTAAGGCTGTAAATCTTTACAGAAGCAGACTGCCTCATCTTTCTCCCATGGAGTGGCTGGCTGTTGGTTCGAACCACCAACCTTTTGATTAGCAGCTGGAAGCCCTAACCACTGTACCATCAGCGCTCCTTGTACGTTATATAGGCAGTCTATAAATAAAGTGTGTAAACTTAGTAAGACATTATAGGTAAATTATTTTGTAGCATTTTGATGAACTTCATTGACTATTAGATTGTTTGGCCTGTAACTATGTAAAGCAGAGTTACTGTATTTTGCCCTGTAACTACGTAAAGAACTTTCTGGTAAAATCATCTGGTTTAATTTGTTCTAATCCAAAGCAGTATTTTCCTTAGTAATGTCATAGGAGATGTAGTTTTGCCATCATTTTAAAAATAATTAAATAACTTTGATCCAAAGCCTTTTGGCCATGAACTTTTCCTTTTTGATCCAAAACTTTTTCTCATAGTATGTACCTTTAGTTACAGTTGTTAAGACTATGGGTTTTGGCAATTAGTCCAATTGTCACTTTGTCCAGTTTTCACTATATGCACTTGTTTGTTATGTGCCATTGAGTCAGACCCAACTCATAGCGACCCCTCCTTGGGTTTCCGAGGCAGTATCACTATAGAAGTAAATTGCCCCATCTTCCTTCTGAGGAGTGGCTTGGTGGGTTTGAACAGCCAGTCTTCTGGTTAGCAGTCAAGTGCCTTAGGCACTATGCTACCAGAGCTCCCATGTGCACTAGGATACCAAATTTAAAAAAAAAAAAAAAAAAAAGAGCTCTCATGGCATAGTGCCTAATGCATTCAGCTGCTAACCAGAAGGTTGATAGTTCAAACCTACCAGTTGTTCCTCAGAAAGAAGATGGGACAATCTACTTTCATAAAGACTTACTGCCTAGGTCACTATGAGTCAGAATTGACTTGATATCAGTGAGTTTGGTTTTTTTTAATTAGTGCATATAGAAATTATGTTTGCACTACACTGTAGTCTATTAAGTTTGCAATAGCATTTTGTAAAGTTGGAAATATTGTGAGAATTACCAAAATGTGTCACAAAGACACAAAGTGACTATTGGACTAATTGGTCTACACACTAGTAGACCATGCAAACCTCAGCCTATATGACCATGAGAACAGAAGAACTAGATATATGACCGTGTGAACAGAAGAAGTATATGGTCCCCAAATACCACTGTCAACCACTTGGAAAAGGATTAGTGCAGGGATCCTGGATAGAGTGGGAGAATAATGTAGAAAAAAACCCAAAATCATATTAAAAAAGACCGGGTTTACTGGTCTGCTAGAGCCAAAGACTATGGCCCCTAGTCATCCTTCAGGCCTGGAACTGAACTGACTCCTGTGATTTCCAGCCAAACAATAGACAGGTATGGTGAACAGGGTGAACATTTACACCAGGTAGATACACTCGTAGAATGATCAATCATGGGAGAACAGAAGGGCAGTATTTGCACAGGGAGATAGCTCAGGGGGCAGGAATGCATAGGAAGGAAGGACACAAGGAGGGAAGGGGTAACTACAGGGAGGAAGTGGGAAGAGAGCTGTTACATTATAAGGATTGCAATCAATGTCATGAAACAAAATGTGCATGAACTATTATATAGAAAATGAATTTGCTTTGTAAACTTTGACCAAAAGTAAAAAAAAAAAAAAAAACGACTATTGGTTTTAGAATCAGATAAACTAGGGTTAGAATCATGGCTCCAGCACCTTGGGCAAGATACTAGCCTCTTTAGTCCTCAGATTCATGACCTGTGATACAGCTATGTTACAACGTTTCAAAAATGAAAGGAGATGATGCCTGCAGAGTACTCAGGAAGTACTAGCTGCCATATTGATGATGGCAGTGATGGTGCCAGTGGCAGGTCTAAATCCAGTAACTGCTTGCTAAAAGATCTTTATTTCTTTCAAGTAGGAACTTTACTAATTATTTATTATTCTGTCTTTTCAGGTGTCAAGTAAGGAGTTGATTCCGTTAAGTCCTTCTGAAATAGGAGAGCTAGAAGCCACGAGGCAACACCAGAACACTGTTGCTCTCCACAGTAACGAACTGCTCCTCAGTAAGCTTTCCTTAGCAACTTTCTGCCATTTCGGTTTTCCAAAAACTCCTCCTTAATCACAGTATTCTCAGGCATAGGACATTTCTAGAGATGCAAACAGCTCTAAAACTAAAACTTTTCAATTTAGAATTCTAAAATAGAATAATCACACTCTTGATTTTTCAATGTATGTTACTTAATGGACTTGTCATGAAAAATTCAGTTATTTCATTCAGTTATGGGTAGTGTAACTACACACAATTTTTAAAAATAAGATATTTCAATCTAGGAAGAAAATGTCCATTCTCAAGGGTACAGACCATGAAAAGTGTAAGATGTAATCATTCATTTTAATGCTTATGCAAAGTCCAAATTGAGTAATCAAAATGACACCATTTTATGCCCCCATCACTGATACTGATTATTCTAGTGAAAATGTCATTAAAGAGAGTCAAAGAACTAAAAGGAACCTGGATATTGGCTTCACATAGAGCCACATACTACAAATCATCTCTGAACCTCTTCCTTATCTCTAACTTAAGTTCTCTTTCCATGGGTCCTTCTTATTTCATTTTTCAGCAAGAAAAAAATTCTAGTTAATTCCTTTTTCTAAGAGTATTTGAGATTTTTGGAAGATGATGTCTGAGTTGTCTTTTTTTTTTTTTTTTAGTTAAACAAATAGAGTTTTTTCACCAGACAGATTACATTTCTCCTTCTAGACTGTCCTCCAACACACATAAACACCAGCCCCTGGCTTCCGCCTCTCTCTGGTTTTACCCATTAGCAGTGTTACTTTCTATTAGAAAACTCAGACTAGCTCACTTCTGTGCATCAGATGAGTTAAGTGCAATTTATTTGACAGTCGATTGTTATGAAAATAGAGGACCCATTCAAAGATAGATCAGGCTTCTGCAACTTAGAAATACATGGTATGGAACTCTAGTCTTGCTTTGCCATTTTTTGTGATGATCATTTTGTAACCTTCAAATGTGTGAATGAATGACTTTTTGGATCACCTTTACTGACGTGGGCCTGTATTTTAATTCATTAGATGATGGTGCCCAGTTGGATTTTGATGCCCTATGTGACAATGATGACACAGCCATGGCTGCATTCATGAATTACTTTGAAGCAGAAGGGGGCCTGGGAGACCCTGGGGACTTCAGTGACATCCAGTGGACACTCTAGCATTTGATTTTTAACTCCAAAAAAGAGAAACATTTTAAAGCATTTCATTTACAAGAAACTGCATATTCTCCAGTACTGTATTAATACTGTTTTTATCTTTTGTTTCTATTAATGTTCTACCAGATTTTACAGATTTGCACCTCACTCTCACAGGTGTATGGGAAAATATATTCTCCCAACAGAACATTTCAGAGTTTATTATAGAATCCTTTACTCAGTGAAATGGCTTAAAACCCATTCATGGGTATATTTTTGCTAAAATATTTTTAACTAAGAATAATCACATATTGTTCTGGTTTTGGTTTTATTTTTGATGCAATTTTTTAATTTGGGAATTTAATATATTGAGATTTTCCTTGTGTCCAAGATTCATTTATAATAGTAGATGTGTGTTACTGGGAGAATTTTCATTCCTTGCACATTTCATTCCTCTTTGAGGATAGGGCTTACACACTTTAAGAAAATGGTGAGTACTTGAACAACTAAAGAGACAGGGCAATTTCTAGTCATAATCACAATGAGTACTGTATTACATCTTTGTAGACTTAACCAAACCAAACCAAAAATGCTGCCATTGAGTCAATTCTGGCTCACAGCAACCCCCATGGGGTTTCCAAGATGGTAAATCTTTATGGAAGTAGATTGCCCAGTCTTGCTTTCACAGAGTGGCTGGTGGATTTGAACTACCAACCTTCTGGTTAGCCATCAAATGCCTTAGTCACAGTGCTACCAAAGCTCCTTTGTAGACTTGGGCAAGAAAAAAACCAGGATAGTTATGCTCAGTTAAATACTTTGAGATGGATTTTAAGTGAGAACATTTTTAATTTAAAACTCACGGGGAAAAAGTTGTTTTTCAACTTTGCTTACAGAAAAGGAAGAGCCATCTTTTGTCTTAAGTCCTGGTGATACAAACTTTACTCTTAATATAACCACTCACGATTTTCATTATAGGTAGGACAGGTTTTTGATGCTGAAAATGTATATTTAGTGATGGATTAATTCTAGAGGAAGAAAATGCCCAGACAGATTAACTGTTTTATGTGAAGCACACATTAAATTATATATTTTTAAATATTTAATGTATACAAAACAATCTCCGTATACACAGTTGGGAAAGCAGTGGTCTCACAGGTTAAATGATTAATTAGCTGATCCAGGAACTAGTTGTGATCTTCTAGATTATTAGGCAATTACAGTTATCATTGCATGTAATCCAAGCTCATGATACAAATGGTAAGTACCTTTTTTAAATGATGAAAAATAATTTAAAAACCAATTATCTTTGTATAATTCAAAATTTGCAGAACATTTTTCAGCCAGTAGTTAATCCAGAAGTAGCGCTGAGTGCAAGAATTAATATTTAGAATACTGTTTATCTCTTTGAATGCTCATGCTTTCATAATACCTTGTTTCTTAATAGCTCTTTATAATTGGTTGCTGTGTTCCTATATATTCTCTTTTGTGCCTCACAAATGCAAGTAAGACAGACTGAGAAACTAATGTGGGAAACTCTGAGGCTTAGATGTGGGGTTCAAATCAAGTCTTTTCTTTTTCTATGTGGTGCTACACCTTTCCAGCAAATTGCCCTCAGAATTCCTCACCAAAACAAAACATTAGTTTGATCCTACATGATTAGTCTGTGGGTGATAGATTGGAACTTTTGTCAGACATGTTAATGGCAAATATACCAAAAGCAAATGTTCTGTTCAAGCATGAAATCTACAATAGACATGTGGGCAAGGGTGTACAGGCATGCTGTACTCTTGAGTTAATACAATGTTCCTGGTTCTGATACTTGAGAGTCAAGAGACACTAAGGTGTAGGATAAACAAACAAACAAAAACTCTGGAAGTTGAGAACTGGTTTACAGCTGTGTAAGCATATAATTAAGTCTAAAGAAGGCTGAAACATCACATTTGTTATCTAAGTAAAGCAGAAGGGGCTGTCTGCCAATAAAACATTTTAGAGGACTAAACCGTACATAGCAGTTGGTCTCCAGAGGGTCTGCGCAAGCCAATGGTAGCAGGATAGGTCTTTGTGGTTGGATGGCCTCAAAAACAGGGCAAATCATGATGCAAGTATTTGAAAGAGAGTTTCTAGAAGCTGGTCGTTGTTCTTTGCAAGAGGAGGAATTATTTCATAGAGCTATAGTCAACTGAGGAGCTCTGGTAGCATAGTGCCTAAGGCACTTGACTACTAACCAGAAGGCTGGTGGTTCAAACCCACCAGCCACTCCTCAGAAGGAAGATGGGGCAATCTACTTCCGTAGTGATACTGCCTTGGAAACCCAAGGAGGGGTCACTATGAGTCGGGTCCCAATCGACGGCACATAACAACAACAACGACATAGTCAACTGAAGGTCTTCTGCATGGTTCGATCCTTTATTAGCCTACTCTGATATGTTCTATAAATCCTCTGCCTTGGCCTCGAATACAGTATTCACGCATTGCATAATACTGTAGCTCTCCCAAGGTTAACGTTTTCTTCAAAATGCATTCTGATTACAAATATTTGATTACAACAGATATTTTTATAGCTTATATTAAATATTACTTTTTATTTCCTACAAATTAATTTCATGCATTTTGGTGAAAAATATACAAGTTGAATGAAAGAATCATAAGAATAGCACTTTCGTTCTTTTTAACCCTTGGAATTACTGCTGTAATGAAGTTGTTAGGTACTGTTGAGTTGGCTCTGACTCACAGTGACCCTCTGATAAGAGAACAAAACATTGCCCGGTCCTGTACCATCCTCACAATGGAGCTATGTTTGAGCCCATTATTGCAGCCCCTGTGTCAGCCCGTCTTGTTGAGGGTCTTCCTCTATTTCGCTGATGCTCTGCTTTGCCAGGAATGATGTCCTTTTAGGGCACTTGACTGCTAACCAGAAGGCTAGCAGTTCAAACTCACCAGCCACTCCTTGGAGGGAAGTTTGGGCAATCTACTTCTGCAGAGATACTGCCTCGGAAACCCAAGGAGGGGACTCTATGAGTCAGGTTTGACTCGAGGGCACATAACAACAACAACAGGTCCCTCTTGATAATGTGTCCAAAGTAAGCAAGGTGAAGTCTCATTCCCTTTGCTTCTAAGGAGCATTCTGGCTGTACTTCTTCCAAGACAGATTTGTTTGCTCTTTTGTCAGTCTGTGGTATATTCAACACTATAATTCAAATGCATCAATTCTTCCTCGATTTTCCTTTTTAACTTGTCCAGTTTTTTGTTTTTTTTTTTTTTAGGATTTGGGTGAAGATTTACAGAGTAAATTCACTTTTCATACAGCAGTTCACATATACTTTGTCTCATGTC